AAATGTTTTCTGTGTACATTTTTAAAAACTCCTAAAAGCACAGTTTTATTTCAGCAGTGTTCCTTAAAACCTGACTATGACATTTCAAAAATGTCTTTTTCTTAAAAAAATTTGTCGCTGAATAAAAAAAATTAAATAAATTCTGCAGTGCTGTAGACATAGTAATTTGGAAATAACGATGAAGTTTCAAACTGGAAGAGTCTACTTTATCTTTAAAAAAGAAGCTGCAGCACAGTCTGTCTGTTTTAGGTTAAAGTAGTCTTTTTTGAGAAAGTAAGTGTTGGTTTTCACTGAGAGATGTGAACTACTGCCAAATGTATTAAATATTTGTCTAGAGTATCTTTCTAATTGAAAGAGAACATTCATATTGAAGATTTTTAAAGAAACCAACCTGGGAACTGAGATCTGGGCATAATGGTTTCCATCCCAACGCACCCGAAGGCCAAACGTTGTCTGTAGGGTGATGTACTGACCAGCAAGACTGATGGACATGAGAGGTGAGGGGGAGTGAGGGAGGGCCACCCGCACCCCGTTCACCTGAAATCCACAAATACAGAAATCACGGTAACAAATTAGGTTTTCTATCAACAGAAACAATGAAAACTAAGCTAGAACTAAAACTAAACTGCAGCTGAAGCATAAAAGTAGGCTAAGACAGTAATCGAGCTGAAGCAGATTTCAAAAAGAACATTACTTATGAAGGGATTAAGGAGATACTGATGTATTTCTACAGGATATAATATTTAAACTAAATAATTTAACACACAAGTTACAAAAACCAAAAGTCATAGAACTCATTGCCTGAATGAGATGAACTTTGTGGTATACAAACTGTTAAAATAGAACAAATTATATAGATTGTAAAAKGATTACAGATGAAACTCTAAACAAGAAAAACAACAGGGTGAATGGTGACTCAGCATTCACAAAGTTATGTGAAGAAGACTTGACTTAAACCTGCAGGTTAAAAGAGATGCAGAGAGGCTGGWGTGTGTGTGTGTGTCGCAGGTGGACTGACACATTAAACACATTTTAACAGAATCCTGTGTGTGCTCATTAAAAGCTGCTTCATACTCACCAGAGTTTTCCTGGCTTTCATCATGGTGACAGTGAWTCCATTCACAGTGATGTAGAGTTTTCTTAAGTAGGACACACCAGAGACTCCCCTTTCCTCATTCTTGGCCTCTACAGAAAACCAAGGACCTGCACAAGAAGTGTAGACCAATCAGAGCCAAGAGCGATTCAAGAACCCATTCAGTATTCATTGTGTTTTAGTTTGTGTTGGTGTGTGACTGGTGTTGTATAATCATTTTTAACAAACTGATTCTTTTCAAAACACAAACACATTTAGATTTAAAATTTAGGCTTAACAGATTTAGACTTRGACAACATATATGTATACATTTACATTAAGGGTCAGGATTTAAATCAAAGATATATGATTTATATTTAGTAATATTTAAATTTAAGATTTTAGATATAAATATAATATTTTAATATAGATAAAAGAGGCAAAAATATATTTATTATCTAAATATAGTTATAATATTTAGACATGGATTTAATATTTAGATTTATCATTTCCTACTAAATGTGAGAGTAATGCACTAAATGTGAAGAAAATGCACTAATTTTTTTCAGTTGAATTGTTCCATTCCACACACCCTAATAATTTCTGTATGAAAATGTAAACATGTTTGTACCTGTGTTATTCTTGCATGTTCTGGCCAATGTATAGGTGCAGGTTCCCATGAAGCTGTAGAACTTCTTGTCAAATGTGTTGTAGTGAGGATCCCCAGAGACCACACAGTCCTGAGAGCCTGAGAGAAAAAYGACTCACAGAATCATATTTTTACACTTGCTACATGATAAGCAGTTCTGTTTATGAAATAATACAGCTCAACACCAGAATAAGTTAGCTAGTTGTTTTAAGCAACGTATTTGTTTTTAAATGACAAAACAGGATTTAGAACCATATCTCCTCACTAAAGAAAACAGATTTTTTTTAATCTTGAACTCTGTCTGAACACAATGCCAAGGAAAACAGATTGGGCAGTGATTTAAATTMAATGTAAATAACTCCAGATGATCTTCCTCTTGTTATGGTGGTTTTAGCATTTGGTTTGTCAATATGGTTCCTATTCCTGTTACGATTAGTATGGAGGTAATTTGTTTTTTATTATTCAATCAAACAAAAAAATCTGTTTCAATCAAAACTAAATTTCAATCAAAACAAGATAGAACTTGATGCCAAACAGTGCTGATGTCCCCTGTCAGAATTCAGCAATGACCAACTGTTAGTAGTTTTATTGGAATCATCTCAGGCCTTCATAATTTAAATAATCTCATAAGGTGAACAGACGTACAGACAGACAAGGGGCTAAAGGGATCTTGTCAAACTTCTACACAAATGTGTTGATCTGATCATATATTTGTGTATATGTGTAAACAGTGAAGCATCAGCATTCTCCACTCTGCCACACCCACACCATCCCTCCACCAGTCAGTGTTGAGAGAAACATGCAGCAGGTGAAGTCTGCAGGTCCACAGTTGTAGGGGGAATTAGCTTCAGATACATGTGTAAGAAAAGAGACAAATTGGCAGCTTTGACCCAAAATGGCCGACTTCCTGTGGGGATTGGACCGTGATTCCAAGAGACTTTTTTTAAGGTCCTGAGATGTTATACATATGGATCAAATTTCATTATTCCAGGTCTAAGAATGGCTTAGGGCTAACTTTTTAAAATAATTGTAGGGGGAACTGTGGAGGAATTAGTCCACACACCCCGCAAAGTTGGACTGCATTCATGTAGTGTTGTGGATTTGGATTGACTACAGTGAATTTGGTTTAGWTTGRCTGAAATATGTGGAATTTAGAGTCAAATATATGTCACAGAACTGATGTCTGATTTTGCCGTACACTGCCATGGCCACGCCTTTCATTAAAATGTCTTTGTGCCTGAAAACAAGTGAGATCCAGTTCTTATCCGTGTTCTGACACAATTTGTTRCTCATTTGGTCAAAAGGGTCAGAGATGGAGCTTTTCAAGCCAAAAAACCCTTCCTGTTGTCAGGGGGCAGGGCTTTGAYGATGTCATATGACCACATGGTGTGGTTGGGCATCCAGCATGGATGACTCATACTAAATTTGGTGTATTTTAGTCTTTTTATGTGGAAGTTACAGCTTTCTGAAATTGTAACAGACGGATGGACAGACAGCATTTCTGAGTCCCCCACCTCGGCGACTGGGAACAAAAAATCGAATGTTGCAGGTGCACCCGCTTTGACGTATTGACGACATTCGACGTGGATGCAGGAGGAAATCGCTTCAGTCCAACAGGGACACCGGACACGTCTCACGTAGTACTTCCTTAGGCCCCGCCCCAAATGTTTATGTTTTCTGAGTTCAAAACTTTTGAGTTCAACCAAAAACTTAGAGCATCAACCAAAAGTCTGAGATTCAACCAAAGATTTCTGACGTGCGAAAAATAAAAAAGTTCCTGTTATGAAAAACTTTTTTGCAAAAAACTTTTTTTTGATTGAAATAGCTTTTTTGTTTGAATGATAAAAAATGCCTCCGTAAATTAGTGCCCTCAGCAAACGTCAGCACTCATTCATCAGTGGCCATCCAGTGTGTTTTCACAGAAAATGCTATTTCTATTTATTTTATGGCTGAACATTAAAGCTTTAGCTACACTGAAGAAACAAGATGGTATTCTGTCATGAGGTTTATGTGCTTTTCAAGTTATGTTGACTACTTCTACACAACAGCCAATCATCTTCCACTCAGACATTAGATTTTAATGGATAAGGTCATAAATACTCTATCCTGTCCTAGAAGACAAAGTACTGCTCAGTCATGTGGACTAAGAAAGCTGAAGTAAAGTAGGTTGTTGCTTAGTTGCAGTGTTAGAACATAGTCTAACAATACAGCCTAAACTATAAAGTTTCTAACACAACTCAGCTGTGAATCTTTCCACTTCTCATGGTGTGACCTGATGTTTAAAACAGAGTGAGTTTAAAATTACCTGAGGGAAAGCAGTCAAGCTCTCCATCCTGGAGTTTGCACTCATGCATCGGGGGGCAGTTAGAGGCCTTACAAGTAACAAAGGGAGCATCACATCTACACTTCAGCTCACAGTTCTCCAAATAAAACTCTTCTCCAGGCTAGAACACATGCAAACAACACAGGAGAAAGCTCAGTAAAAAACGATTGCTGCAACATATTCTCTCTGCACATTTAACAAGGATCTAGAGAAAAATGCAGAGCTAGCTGCATTGCAGTCTAAAACCTCACCATCCCTTAACAATTATAACAAAGTTTTAAGAAATAAAATTACTGTCCAGAAAATGTTGTTTCCCATTTTGGTAAAATCTAGAACAGCATCAGCACCGGAAGGTCACAGAAACAAACAAAATCYGTCTAAATTGGCTCATTTCTTACAGATTAAACAGGACAGCACAGCCTTCCAGTAATGTATGTGGGGTTGGGTGACTGACAGGTTTTGGGCAACATTGCTTTGATTTGCTGCTCATTTGGATTAATTCTGTTCAGCCCAAAAGACAATTATAAAGGTTGTAACAAGACATCATCTATTGGTGTTTTTAGACCATAGACGGTGGTCTGGACTGCCGACAGACCAATGATGTGTATCAACATKGATATGGTTGATATAGTTACTTTAGTCCATTCTAATGGAATTGAAGAAACCTGGAAGTGAACAGACTAAGAACACAGACCAAATTGTGTTCAAATGGACAATTTGAAGGTTGGTTTTGCTTGGTTTTAGCAAAAGGACAAGCTACCTGTCAGGATTTTACCCATCAGACTGAGGCAGTTTACCAAATAAAGGTGTACCAATCCAGACTGTGATGAATATTTTATAAATGTGGCACCTAGCTGTAAGTGGAAGCTTAAGAAAAAATACAACAAAAGCAAGCTTTCTCAGTCATGACGTGTTTAGTTGAGCTCTGACCCGTCAGAACCACTTCACRGTACCTCGTAATACTGTCCGTTTGTGTGAAGGCAGCCACAAGAATTCTTCAGGACACATTTGCCGGCACTCAAGACGTAACCAGGATCACACACACAGGACTCTGAGCAGGGTCCACTGCAGGAGGAGGGTTTTCCAGAGCAAGTCTCCTGACAGGGGTCCGCACAGGGCTCATAATGACTGTTAGGGGGGCACTTAAGAGCTATTAGGAAATAAAGAACACAAGGTTGGTTCAAAGATCAACAATAGTAAGTTTTTCCTTTCTACTTTTGCCAATGTGCTGTTCGGGATGGGAGACTGTGATGAAGTGAGGATTCAACACAATCTGCTGGCTTCCTTAGATTGATTGTGTTTGTGTTTGTTGTGACTTGGCTCTATAAGAATAAAGTGAGTTGAAATAAGCAGAAGTAAAAGGTTTCGAATACCACATTGGTTTAAGTAYTTGGAAAAGTGTGGAAATAGCCTTAATTTAGTTTGTAAACATTGTCTGCTACGTCTGTCATAGTCCTTAACCGTTCGCCTTAAAAATTTTAAGTTTCAATTCAATTCAATTCAGTTTATATAGCACCAAGTCACAACATAYGTTGTCTCAGGRCACTGTACATAAAAAGAACAACCTAAAGAAGAAACCAGCAGATTGTGTTGAATCACTTCATCACAGTCTCCCATCCTGAGCAAACGGTGGAGAGGAAAGTAAAATGCTTCATTTAGTAATTTAGTTTACTAACACTTGTTATACTTTAATAAAGTGATGATGGCATGGGGGTTTTATCCAAGACTGTTATCAGATCTAAGTCTGAGTTACAGAGTGGATTTACTGGAATCATTGACTTTTCACTTTGACTATCTCAAGGTTATACATTACCTTCACTTACTTTTTTTTGTTCACACATATCACTTCTTTCATTTAAATCCTCTTTACGTTTTTCTTTCACTCATACTTACGGCAAAATGTTTCGTTTCTCCAGGGTCCAATGCTGACCCCGCGGTCCTGGCATTCATTGACGTAGGCCTCGATGGCTTCACACAGAATAGACTTGGCTCCATCCAGTTCACATAAGTCAAAAATACAATCCCTAAAGTAATCCTGAGAACAGGCAAACAGTCTGGATTAAAGTGCTGAATTCAGTCTCCAAAACTTTAAAAGCTCACTCCATTTTGCCCTTTTATCTTATTGTGAACAGCAGAAAAACAGCATTCAAGACCTAAAGCAAATAATCGTACAGTTATGACATCAAATCATATTATTAGTTTAACAAACTCAATAATGTTTGACAAGATTTTTGATGCAGTTATCTACAAAAAATAGCAAAGTTTGAAAAGAAAATGACTACACACTAAAGATACTTCACATTACTGTTGCAGGTATCTCCACTAGTTATGAACAATAGCTCAGTCTATCAATGGACCGGAGACAGGTTGAAGCACGAGAGCTCCAAAAACCACCGAAAACCAACAAGAGAGACGTTAAATATGTTTCATCATTTGCACATTGTGTCAGATGTTTTATTTCAAATTGAATTAAAAGAAATGTCGGGAAATACTAAATGGGTAGAGGAAACATTATTTTGTTAAAGTTTGATTAAAGAAAAACAGGGATAATGTAAAACCTAAAGATGTGGATATTTGCGTGGACATACGTTGGGGTTGACTTTGGGGTGGCACACAGCAAAAGGACTGTTTTTGTCCAGCAGGAAACCACAGTATCCAGAGCTCTCATACAGTTCTTCCTCGTCTTCAGTACATCCTGGGACAGTAGTGTTTGGTTTTTTATTACACCTGTCAACACAGATGTCAAGTTCAACAACGTGTACAAATAGGTTAACTTTATGCCAAGTTAAAGCTCTAAAACAGAATTCATAAATACAGATTGGTTTAATAAGGAGGTTAAATTATCCTTTTGGTTAAAATAAAAGACAACTGCATAACAGTTTACAAAGTGAAACATAATTAATTTAAAATGAACTGAAGTCATTGGATTTAAACAGAATTGAACACAACTGCAATCAGAAAGCAGGGTGACAAGTGACAAAATACTGAATGTTTCCTGTAAGAACCAAATGTTTTTACCAAACTGTTTTTTAGTAAATGAGTTTTTGTGTTTAAAATTTCACTGTGACCCAAAGACGAAGTCAACTTACTGGGATTGTTCTGTACTGTAGCTCTGACCCAGCAAACTTTAGAAAAACACCTTTATGTTTTATTTATTGTTTTTATGTGTATGGGTAACCTGTGGGTAAGCTAGTTATATACTGTACTCCCAAAGGTGAATAGTAACTCAGTACATTTACTTCAGTACTTAAGTAAGTTTTTTGAGGATTTGTAATTTTACCTGGTATTTCTTATTGTAAATTTTACTTTTATTTTGCTACATTCAAAACATAAAAATTTTTATGTCTTTACGTTAAAAATTAAAATATGACCAAACGCATGATGAAACCAGTTGTTTGTGGACTCTAAAAAATGAATGTTGAAATTGACTCAAGAAAGTTATTTTGGTCAAAACATTTCATATTTCACGGGAAACTCAAGCCCAGAACTCCCAGAAAATCCTCATTGAGTCCTTTCACTTTTTTCCCCTTTTTTAATTTGTGATGTTTTTGAAGGCTGTTTTGTGAACTTGGTTAATATTTGACAAAAGCTTGAATCAGTCCTTACTCTGGATCAGTGTTCCAGCTGTGTCCAAAGTCAATGGCATTGTTGGTTAAGGTTCCATCTGGTTTACGGAAGTCATCTTTRACATCTCCATTATAATCTCCGCACAGACCACACAGTTTGTCTTGATAGCTGTGAATCAAATAAATATCAATTTAAGAGGTTTGTATATGTTGCCTTTTGCTACAATAGCCAAACCAGGAGGTTAACTAAAAATAGCACACAGTTAGGGCCACATATGAAAGCAGAATAAGTTGATAACTTACTCTTTGATCACTTTGATATCCATGTAGTGGTTTCCATCATAGCGAACTGTGACACCAAAGTTCATGGACACAGTGTAATGTTTTCCTGACTTRAAGACAGAAACGCCAGGTGCTGGAGTCACTGGGATGTTTACAGTGGTCCTGTTCAACTGTGAGGAAAAACAAGAACAGAAATTACTCTAGACACCAAACTAAACTAATTACTAAAACATCGCAGCTGTAGAAAATCCTAATACTATAGAAAAAATAAGCAGTGTTAGTAATTTTAAAGACAAAGTTCCAGCATTCTAACCTTAAAATAAACATATTTTGACAATTTCAGGTTCATTCTCAATGCAAAGAATTCAGCTGAGATAATCTGACTGCAGATMTACCCACATTCAAATCACATCTTAAATCACACCTACTCAGAACAGCTTTTAGTGTAATAATAGGATTTTGTCCTATTTTATGCTTATCCTGCTTTTTTCTCTTTTCATTGTTTTTTTAATTTTCAGTGCTATGTATTTAAGTGTTTTCCTGTCATGATTTTGTTGATGTACTTAGCTTTTGTGTTTGTAACTTTGCTTTAGTCTTGTAAACTGTCTTTGAGTTTGAGATTTAGAAAATCACTATTCAGAAAAGTGTATTATTATTATTATTATTATTATTATTATTATTATTATTATTATTATTATTATTATTATTATTATTATTAAATGACAGGAAGAGTTGCTCTCCTTGTTAGTAGATCCCAGAACTTCTGCTGTTATTAAAGGCTTGACATTAGATGCTTTCAGATGAAACAGCTCTGAGGACTCTCTGAGGGTTAAAGGGGAATACAGTAGTTATAAGAACCTGTGCTTCTGCAGTTCACCTTGAAACCAAAAGCTCAATGACTGGCAGCCTACTGTGGGATTTATTGTACATTTAAACTATATTGGTTTGACATGGTTGAACAATSTTCCAACAGGAATAACCATCTTCATGATTTCTTTTTTGCATCTTTTTGATCCTAACATTTTCCTGTTTCCAGTTTCTCCAGTACATTTTTTGTAATCAAAGTACTTTTGCAGACTTTCTATTCTAAACATTAAGGTATGGAAATGTATGGCGTGGTATGACGACCAAAATTAAGGCTATTACGCAACCAATGKTTGCAACATCCTTGTAGCAGTAGGCTGTATGTATTCCTAAGCCAGATATTGATCTGATTAATGCTAGGCCGGCACCGGTAACTGAGCAGCTATAACCAAGTGACCAGTGCTGGCAAATGAAAAGGAGACTATCCATTTGTGTTAGCATTGGAGAGGCCAGCGACTAGCATGCCTAGGCTAGTGACTCTGGATTGCCAACTCCCTCCACTGTCCATTTTCATGAATAGGCTGGTGTTAGCGTTGGAGAAGCTAGCAACTAGCATGCCTWGGCTGCTCACCTACTTTATCAGACATGAACATTTTTGATTTAAGAAAACTCTTCCAGCATAAAGGGTTGACATACAAAACCTATAAGAGACATGCTCTAACAGGTGTTCCTTAGACAGAATTTKCTGTTCATCATGACGTCAATCAGAAATGTTAAACATAAAACATATTACTGTRAAGCAGACAGCTTCCGTTACCAACTGAATTAGCAGTTGTGTTTGCCTTTGTCTATTGGTCTGTGTTTTTATTGGTTTTTATTGGTTACTGTGTTTTTTCTCTTTACTCCCATATAAGAAATACCTGTATATGACATTATAAATTATAATTCAATATAGAGAAGCCTAATTTAATACCCTGTCAAAAACTGTAAAAAGCCCCAATTTGATAATTCTGGCTTTTCTAATAATTCGGCTAAAGAGGGAAAAAACAAAAAACACAGTTGGTCACTAGCCTAGGCATGGTAGTTACTAGCCTCTCCGATGCTAACGCCAGCTAGTCCATGCTAGTAGCTAGMCTTTTTATTTGCCAGCACYGGCCTCTCAGTTATCGGTGGCGATCTWTCATTAATCAGATCAATAGCTGGCTTAGGAATAGATATAGCTTACTGTGCAATAGTCTTAATTTTGACCGTTGTACCACTTCATAGAAATGTTCAACTCAATCAGGAAGTGTGAACGTTTTTTTTTTTTTGTGACTTATACTTTTCAAAACATTTAACAATTTAAAATATTTTTTAGTTGCTATTTACCTAATTTAGGAAGGCACGGCTCAGTTGGTAGAGCTGTAAGAAAGTTACAGGATCACATACCAGCTGAGGAGCTTTCTGGGTAGAGTTTGCATGATCTCCCCATGCATGCGGGGGTTTTCGTCAGGTATTTCTGTTTCCTCCCTCAGATCAAAAACATGACTGTAATTCTAAACTGTCCTTAGTCTTGAGTGAGAGAGTGAATGGTTGTTTGTCYCRTTTGTGTGTCCCTGTGATGGACTGGGGACCTTTCCRGAGYGTWCCCCACCCCTTGCACAGTGATTGCTGGATATGGGTACCAGTGACCCCATTGCACTTTTTGGAAGAACCAGATATGACAGTGGGTGGATTTCACTAATTTGAACTTTTACTTTTTGTCTAGCAGATTTGGAACTGTGTTTTAGGTGTCAAGTTTAGTTTTAAAGCAGACTTTGAAAGCTTCAAAATATCAACAGGATTTCTTCTGAGTTCTGTTTGAAGACTCATCTTACAATCTACTTTAYGCTGAACATGTCAAATCATAGCAGACAATATCTTTTACTTCAGTAACACATACGCTGTTTTAATAKTGTAGGTTTTGGGAAAATGGTTAATTTTGGAAAAATGTCTACCCTAACAAAAAGGCAAACTACCTTACCTTCCACAGTGACAAAGGCTGCAATGGTTCTCTGTGACCCATGACCTGACCTAATTTCCCTCTGGGATCAATAAAGTATTTTTGAATTTGAATTGAATTCAATTGAATAAGCATCTACTGCAAAGTACTGCAGTGTAAAGTCAAGTCATCCTTATTCTTTAATAGAAAGAAGCAGTCAGACAGGTGTTCACATTTGCTCTATTCATTGCCTACCTGTATAGTGCCACCTTTGAGAATGGAGATCATCACTGTGTGTACATATACATGTACAGCCTTGACGTAGGAGATGGTAAGGCTGTTATATCGGTTTTCATTGTCCGTATGAACYTCAAAGAATGGCAGAGTTGTGTCGTTGCAGCGTCCAGACATTAAATAACTGCAGTTACCCATAAAATCATATCTGCGTTTGTCAAAAGTTGTGTAGTGAGGATCTCCAGATGCTATACACGTTGATGTATCTAAGTAGATATRAAATGAAAAACAAAATGTTAACTGTTATTTTATAACAAAAGCCTTGCTCTTATTTAAGTTATTTCAATATCAATAAACTAATAACATAATCTCTCTACTGAGAGAAAAACAATAAACATAAACAAAACAATATGTATATACATGTACAATAGGTTGCCTTCAGGCCCAGGCCTCCTTTGAAAAAGAAATCTGAGATCTCAACGGGACTTGCCTGGTTAAATAACAGTAAATAAAAAAAAATATATATATAATAATAAATTTGCATGGAAATGAATATCTTTGCTATATTACTCAACCCACCAACCTTTCTTCAGGCCTCAAATATCTAACTTAAAATAAATATATTAAAAAAAATACATATTTAAATACACAGCAGCAAGCAGCAGACTACAACAGAAAAAATATTCTGTCTGCTTTTGTTTTGTTAGGAAAATTGCCCATTGGTTTATGTAGAGGTGTGTGGTTTAGTAATTGTGCAGCAGCTGAAGGGGCCTTTATCAATTATGAATTTACTTTCTGGTCCTGTTTCTAGAAAAATAGAACTCTGTTAACTAGACATGTTGATCAGGAAGATCCTTACACAAACATGTAGTTACACATAGGTTGTTCAGGTCCTAAAGAAACAGTGTAAAGGAAAAGTGTAGACTGTTTAATATTAATTAATGTAGCGTTCTTTCACATGTGTTGTATTAGAGAAAATAAGGTTTTTGAGCCTAAAAAATAGGCTATTTAAAGATGGGTCCTGGTTTGGCTAGCTAACAAACTACATCAATTTAAAATTAACCAGATTACCCATTTAACAGTATTTGTACTTTGTGTTAAGTAGTATTATTACCTTTAGGATAACAGCTGGAAACACCATTAACTTCTCTGCACTCTTCGCTGGGATCACAGGAGTTATCAACACATTCCAAAATGTAGTTTCCAACACAGCGACACAGCTTTGTACAGCCATCTCCAGATACTATCTCACCAGGCTAAAACAAAATTATAAATTGAATGAGTACTGAGGCCATGCTGTGTAGAACACTAGTTTTACAACTGCCATGTGGTATTTTGTTTTTCCAAARAAATCCTTATGCTCATAAACATAAAAAAATGACAACTGACCTCATAGTAGTTGTTCTCATCATCTAAACAGCCACATTTTTCTAGTGGCACACAGTGGCGTCCCTTGAATACAAATCCAGGTTTGCAGAAGCAGCCACTTATACAGGAGCCAGAACAGTTGGTAGATGGTTCCATACATGTGGGAATGCATGCTGSACCACAATCTATATACTCTGCATTAGGTGGACACGGATCTGGACAGAAAGAATGTAAATGAAACTTAAAACAATAATAAAATACACTGTACACATGAGAAAGTAATATTTAATTCAATGAATGGGACTGGTAAAAACATGGCGCTTCATACTCGGAGTGGTTGTCGTTGGCCTAGGTGTTGTTGGTTTAGGAGTTGTTGGTTTAGGAGTTGTTGGTTTGGGTGTAGTTGGTCTCGGTGTAGTTGGTTTGGGTGTAGTTGGCCCAGGAGTTGTTGGTTTGGGTGTAGTTGGTCCTGGTGTAGTTGGTTTGGGTGTAGTTGGCCCAGGAGTTGTTGGTTTGGGTGTAGTCGGCCCAGGAGTTGTTGGTTTGGGTGTAGTTGGTCCCAGAGTTGTTGGTTTGGGTGTAGTTGGTCCCGGAGTTGTTGGTTTGGGTGTGGTTGGCCCAGGAGTTGTTGGTTTGGGTGTAGTTGGTCCCGGAGTTGTTGGTTTGGGTGTAGTTGGGCCCGGAGTTGTTGGTTTGGGTGTAGTCGGCCCAGGAGTTGTTGGTTTAGGTGTAGTTGGCCCAGGAGTTGTTGGTTTAGGAGTTGTTGGTCCAGGAGTTGTTGGTTTAGGAGTTGTTGGCCCAGGAGTTGTTGGTTTGGGAGTTGTTGGTTTAGGAGTTGTTGGTCCAGGAGTTGTTGGTTTGGGTGTAGTTGGCCCAGGAGTTGTTGGTTTAGGAGTTGTTGGTCCAGGAGTTGTTGGTTTGGGTGTAGTTGGTCCATGAGTTGTTGGTTTAGGAGTTGTTGGTCCAGGAGTTGTTGGTTTCGGAGTAGTTGGCCCAGGAGTTGTTGGTTTAGGAGTTGTTGGCTGACCTATATTTGAAAAAAATAAATAAATAAAATATTTTTTTCTTTTTTAATAAAAATCCCTGACTCACATAAATAAACATTTATGGTGTATTAATGTCTTTCTTTGATCAGTGTCATACGGTACCTGTGCAGGTCACAACACACACTGCATCAACAGCAATATCAGTCTTTTCAGTTTCTCCATAGGTTCCCACAATTGCAAACTAAAATAGATGAATAAACACAAAGTAAATACAACCATAAAACTTGTATAAGTCTTTAASCAAATGCATATAAACCAAAAGGTACAATAAGTTTAAGTATTTACTTGAGCAGCAGTTCCCATAAATCGAACTTTTGCAGGCTTCCAGCCTTGACCCTGGTTCCCCTTAACAGTGAAGAGAGCAGACCCAAGGCTTCCACCTAGTTAAAAGAGAAAAAAGTAAATAGCCAGATCATATCGTTCTGACAATGAACATAATAATAAATTCATCGTTATACCTGAGGAGATGGTGTGGACACTGAGCTCCATGGTGGTGCTGGTRCCATACAGGTAATAGTGGAAGCTAAGCTCCAAACATCCAGAAGACGATGGTATTACAGGACTTCTGATTTGAGACCTTTCTCCAGGCATTCTTTCCAATGAATCCATGAGCATATACGACCCCACTATATGCCAGATATTAAAATAATGTTCAGTTGTCTATTCTGACCAAGTCAAATTATACAACGGTTTAAAAGATTYCATGAATTTATCCAATTTCAGCAAACTAGTCAAAACTATGAAAAGTGTTTTTTTTTATGATACTGTGATTTTTTTTTATTTTTGTGGGTAAATAATATTTGACAGATGCATATGGTGGCTTTCATTAAAAGCACAAAAAGGAGATTTACATACATCCAGGTTTGGAGAAGTCATCATCAGGTCCAGTTCCATCAGTTTCTGTTGACCCAGTCCACTTAGCAAAACCAAATAATTCAGGATTGGCCGTAGAAGTTGTCCACCCACACAAGTTCTCGGTATCAGAATCATCAAAATCACAACCAGATTCACAGGCTGTGGAAATAAAAGTAAACATTTATTCAATATTGTATTTTTATTTTGTGTGTGTGTGTGTGTGTGTGTGTGTGTGTGTGTGTGTGTGTGTGTGTGTGTGTGTGTGTGTGTGTATGGTACCAACCAGGACATTCTCCCTCAGTAATGATAATGTTGTCCAAAGCTGAGTCACATGATGGRCTGAAGCCTCTTTGAGCTTCAAACACAATCTGTAGACACAGTGAACAATTAGTCACAAGAAGTCTCATGTATCAAAGAGTGCATCTTTTCATACTGAATGTTGGTGTACAGATCAAAATGGAAAAGTATAATGCAAACAATCATTCAGATTCATCAAACCATGCTCATGCATGTTTCTACACACATTTCTTTCACACATTTCAGCAAATGTGGAACTGAGTGCTCATAAAGCTCCTTCATACGCTTACATTTGAATATGCTAATCAATGCGTATATGTGTGTGCTTCTCCTCTCTGCACAATCATAAATGATGTGAAGATACAGAAAAATAAGGAATTTGAATGTGAGTCAGAGATGCTACTAAAAATTGTAGTGGGGCACCACTGTCGCATTTGCAGCATGTGCAAAGCAGGGGTGGGTGTCTCAATCCAAGTATTGATACTAACAGAAACAAAAAAATGTGATGTTGCAACATGATGCTATTTTTTGTAATCATGTATTTCTGTCATAGGAAACACAAGACAGACACAAAATTAAGTGGGTATAACAAAACTACGGTAATCATTTTTAAGTAACAGCTGTTTGTGAGCTATAGTATCTCTGTTAATATATGAAAAGCCCTGAAGAAAGATTCCAAGGTATAATACAGCATAAACATTGCACATAGTGATTTAACCAGCACTCATGTTTTCCTTTTGAAAGGTTCAGTTTATGAAGTGATTTGTTACCACTCACATTGATGCTCTGGCTGCTGGGTTTGGACACAGTGATGGAGCCTTCAAGCCAAGATGGACTCTGAATACCAGTTTTTTTCCAGATCTCTTCTTCAGCACTGGATGTTTTTGACAGGACCCTCAGYACGTTTGCAGCATCAGAACCATACATGTAATACCTAAACCTGACACAGATCTTAGACGCCAGTGTGGAGATGKCAGGACTCAGTAGGCGAGCTTTTTGTCCATTGGACACATTGTCACACTCATGGTAAATGTAGTAGCCATCTGAAAAGAGAGGAATACAGGGGAGATAATCCACACTGGAATGCTAAATTATTCCAGTTATTCATTTATTTGAGATTTMAAAAATAATAATAAAGCATGCTGACTTCCGTCGGGGTAGTCTCCATCGGGGCCAGTGCCTGGTGTTGGAGTTGGACCCTTGTGTCGGGTCCAGTCRCTGTTGTCTAATTTGTCCTGAAGGAACTCGCAGAATGGACTGCTGTCCTGGTTAAAGTCACAGGAGGTCAGAACGACTGCTGGAGAAACACAATACATGACAGATATCAGTTTAGTGTTTAATAATATTTTATTCACCAGCAGACCTTGTCAATAAACAGGATGTCTGTCGTTTTCCTGTTTACTGGACATTATTTGCAATCAAACTACGTTTGCAAACTTTGTGCAACTTTAACCTTTCATATACAGTAATGAGACATTCAGCTCGTTCAGGAACAGTGTGCTATTACCGCTGGTTTTTGTAACCATTATGCTTTCATATTATKTAACTTTAATTCATGATGGGCGGAAGTGACACAAAAGAGTGATTTATTTCACTGATTTATTTTAGACTAAAGCATTTTTATGTTTATAACTTGCTCAGACTACWGTAGAGGCCAGTGTAGGATCAACCAGAGGTGGAGGGTGGGGCATCTCTTGTCTCATGAGGTCCTTTTTATACTGTATCCTGAGTCACATCTACAAAAACTTTGAATAACACCAGAAAAAATAGCCCGGTTTGTAGCTAGTTGATTTTTTTGAAAGAGTCACAAGAGATCTGAATACTGTAAATATAGTGTTAGTTAGGCTGAAAGTGCAATTCTATTCTCCTTTTGTTATTTAACWTTTTAGCTAAAATGTTATTGTTTTTAGCTTTTAATTACTGTTTTGGTCTTTTTAACTTCYGCATCTGTTATTTTAAAAATAACTATAGTTAATTTATCATCATTTTGCTACTTTTAGCTGCCATTGTACACATTAGAATTTTTAGCTTGTGTTCTGCTCAGTATGGTTGCTTTGAGTTTCATAATTCAGTTCTTCAGCAAATTTYCACCATCGTGCATCACTCAAGAAATAATTTCTCTAGTAATACTGTAAATAACAAAATGCTTCACAATCTGAAGCTTCTAAACCAAGGATCATCAATTACCGTCCTCGAGGTCCGCAGCCCTGCATGTTTCACTGTTTTCCCTTCTCTAACACACCAGACTCAGTCAGTGAATTACCTCTTCCAAGTTCTGCAGAAACCTGAAAATCATTCACATCAGGTGTGTTGGAGCAGAGAAACAAGTAAAACATGCAGGGCTGCAGACCTCGAGGACCGGAATTGATTATCTCTGTTATAAACCTTAGTATGTGTTATTTTAACACGTGATTGTGTTATTTGAACATTCAAAGGCAGTTTAAAGTCTTGCTGTGGTTCCTTAAAGATAAGGAGCTGTGAAAAGATAAAGTCCAGAATGATCCAAGAACAGGGAGTTGTCACGTAGTGTCATTACATCAGCTGTGTGTCATTAAAACTTTGTTCAAATGATTACACTCAAGGAGTTGTGAATTTATAAATAAATGTAACGTACCTTCTTCTCTTTGGTTTTTCTGTGGGCTGGAAGACACAAGATTACCCATGAGTTAAACTTTGTCAGGAAAGATGACATCAATACTAAGATATTTGATTTTCAMAGAATTTCCAGTACTCTGCATTTAAATGATAAAATCTAACTACGGTAATCTACTGCTTTTGTTGACCACTTTAAAGCTTTATGAAAAATAAATACAGCCTCAACTCAGACATACAGAATGTTATGAATATCAGAGGAACAAGTTCTTTTAGCTCTTTGTGATGTTCTATTATTTGAGGTTGAGAAGTTCATTATGATTTTTACACAGGGGATAGACTTTTATCTACAAGGAGTGGCACAGGGTTGCCAGGGTGTTTTATGGGGGAACATACAAATAAAAAATAACATTCTGGATTTGAAAATTCAAGAAGTCTCCCACAGCTAATTCCAAATTACTTTAATTCAGCTGTTTTAAGAAATATTGAGCTGAAAATGAGTGTGGTCAAAGCAAAGAATGATTTAAAACTATGCTGAATGCAAGTCCCGACTTATTGTTAAGCAGTTTTTTTTGACATATCAAGCTGAGGACTAGACTAGACCACAGCAGCTAAATTTAAAGGGCTATAATTCAACCATTTTAATACTTATTAACATTAAATTTGTTGTGGAGTATCTAAGAATAATCACATGTCAATTGCCAATGCTAATGCCAAATTAAGCTAGCCATTAATGCTAATGCTAATTTAACAAAGGGCATACAAATTCAGCCATTTTTAAACATACACAGCTCAATATATACACTAAGGTAGTATCAAAGAACAGTTTTTAAAAAACCTAAGTACAAAACTAAATCCAAGATCCACACTCATTTGTCAGTTATTTGGGGGTGGCCAACAAGTGCCAGAGGTGACACTTGCCACCCTGGCCACTCTTCTAGCT